AGTGTAAAATAATTTTAATAGCATCCACGCAGAATTATTGCAATAAAGTAAGTTGACATATAGTTCAGGACATTGTTAACATGCACATAGTGTTTATATTAGCCATGCTCTTTAGCTAATGTGTTATATTTCATATTAATACATAAAATATCAACATTCCTGGATAATAGTAACGCTAACTAGGAATGTTGGAAATATTAAAAGTTATTTATTAAATACAGTAGGAGTTTTTGTTAGCGTTCTGTATACCTGGGTATGCGTTTAACAAATATAAATAGTTATTCAATAATTTATCTGCAGTTCATATTTACCATTATGCAACCTATAATAAAATAATATACTGATTAACACTCATACTTCATGTCCATTTCTGGTTTGTATCGTGGTCTCACAACAGTAAATCGCCAAACTGCCAGATTAAAATTACTAATCTTAACTTATAATTCATCTATAATCGTCAATAATAAACCTATAGCACCAGTCGAAATAGTTGGGACAAATTTACTATAGGTTCTACGCACAAAATGATGAATTATATGACACACAAAATGAAGTATACGTTAAATTTGGTCGTGGTGGTAATCACTAAGTGAATACAGAAATTAAAACTAAATACAGACATTTGACTCAAAGAGTGATACTAATTTTCTTAAAATTTTTCAGAGCTAGTCAAACAAAAATGTCATCTAAACAAATAGACCTTGTAATTAAACCGATTAATCATTTAGAAATTAAGTATCGTTATCAGGTTTATCTCATCTGGGCCTTGTTTAAACAACAGAGGCATTGTGCACTACACATTTCTGTGCGTAAATTATTTAAAAAAAAAAAAAATCGTTGAAAATTTTAAACAATTTACATTTNTGTCATCTAAACGAAAAGACCTTGTAATTAAACCGATTAATCATTTAGAAATTAAGTATCGTTATCAGGTTTTTCTCATCTGGGCCTTGTTTAAACAACAGAGGCATTGTGCACTACACATTTCTGGGCGTATATTATTTAAAAAAAAAAAAATCGTTGAAAATTTAAAACAAATCACATTTTACTTAACGGGTAGATCCTAAAAACAAATTTCTTGAATTATATGAAATTTATATCTACAAATCACCATTTTTTTTTTCATTTTTATTTCTTTAAGCATTTTTACACTTCTAATATTTTTTTTGCAAACTCATGAAAAAAGTGTTGACAACGATTGGTAGAAGCAACGGTATAAAAATAAGTCATCATTCTTTTATTTGAAAAAAAAAAATTTTTCTACTTTTAAATTCCAAGCGTATCGAAGTAGCTATCGGTATTACAATAGTGTTTATATATTATTTTGTTCTTCTAGTCTGTGGACACGTTTCTTTCTAATAATCTTGTTCCGATTTGTATGTGTGGCAAGTTTTCTGTAAGCACAAAATTA